TATTATAGTTTTGGCTTTTTAAAAAAATTCATGTAAATAAAATCATACAGGATGTAATCTTTTGTACCTGGCCTCTTTCACTTATTTTGAGACTCATTCATGTTATATACCACATTTTGTTCATGCATTCACCTGCTGATGGTTGTTTCCAGGTTTTGACTATGAATCAGGCTATTTTGAACATTCATTTAGAAGTCTAAATGTAGACATATGTTTTCATTTCTTCTGGCAGATACTTAGCAGAACTGCTGGGTTGTACAGTAAGCATATGCTTAATATTTTTAAAAACTGCCAACCTTTTTCCAAATTGACTATACCATCTTGCATTCCAGTGAATAAGACTTTTAGGACTTCAAATCCTCGCCAACACTTGGTATTATCACTTGTGATATTAATTGGTACTTCTCTAATGAACAAAGACGTTGAGTATCTTTTCATCTACTTGTTGGCCATTCATATATATTCTCTTAAGAAGTATCTATTCAAGTATTTTGCCCACTTTTGTGTTGGGTTTTTGTTTTCTTACACTTGAGTTAAAAGAATTTTTGACACATTCTGGATACAAGTCTTTTTTCACACAGCTAGAAAAAAATTTTAGGTATAAGTCACATACCATAAATGTTACTCTTTTAATATATACAATTCAGTGGTTTTCAGTATATTCATGAAATTGTGCGACCCTTGCCAGTATCTAATTCCAAAATATTTTCATCACCCCATTATAAATTGAATTATTCATTTCATTTTCAGATCGCTCGCTGCTAGTGTATAAAAATACAATGAAATTTTTGTACATCTATCTTGTATCCTACAACCTTGCTGAACTTGTTTATTAGCTCTAACAGGTTTCTTTGGAGATTCCTTATGGTATTCTAGAGGTAAGGTCATTTTATTTGCAAAGAGAAACTGTTTCACCTCTTCCTTTCCAATCTGGATGTCTTTTTTTCTTTTTCTTGCCTACCTGCCTTGCTAGAAAATTTAGTACAATGCTGAAAAGTGGTGAGAGCAGGCATCCTTGTCTTGTTCCAATCTTGTTCCTGTCTTTCACCATTAAGTATGATGTTAGCTAAGAGTTTCTGATATGCTCTTTATCAGGCTGAGAAAATGCCCTTCTATTCCTAGCTTTGTGAGTGTTTTTACCATGAAAGGACATTAGGTTTTGCTAAATGGTTTTCTTTGACAAATGAAGTGATCATATGGTTTTTCTCCCATTTATCCAATTAATATGTGAAGTAAATTAATTGACTTTTGTTGTCAAACCAACTGTGCATTCCAGGATAAACCCATTTGGTCATGCTCATGTTCAATGCAGCATTACTTACAATAGCAAAGATGTTAATCAACCTAAGTGTCCATTGATGGATGAGTGAATAAAGAAATAGCCCTCTGTATTCATGAGTTCCACAACCAGCCATACATCAAAAATATTTCAAAAAATAAAATACAAATAATACAATATAATGATTTGTAAAGCATTTATATTATATTAGGTATTATAAGTAATCTAGGGTAGAGATGATTTAAAATATATGGGAGGGTATGCATATGTTATAAGCAAATACTACACTATTTTATGTAAGGGACTTGAACATCTAAGGCTTTTAGTATCTGCGGGGAGGTTCCTGGAACAAATCCCCTACAGATAGCGAGGGATGACTGTATACACATGAAATATTACTCAACCTAAGAAAAGAAGGAAATGCTGTCATTTGTCACAACATTAATAAATCTGAAGGACATTATGTTAAATGAAATAAGCCAGTTACAGAGAGACAAATACTGCATGATCTCATACTGGAATCTTAAAAAGTAGAAGCAGAGTAGAATGGTGGTTACCAGGGTCTGGGAGAAATGGGGAGATGTTGGTCAAAGGATACAAACTCTGTTATAAGATGAATAAATTCTGGAGAGGTAATGTATAGCATGGTGACTATATTTAATAATACTGTATTGTATACTTGAAATTTGCTAACAGAGTAGATCTTAAATGTTCTCATCAGAAAACATAACTATGTGAGATGATGGATATGTTAATTAGCCTGATTGTGGTCATCATATACAATGTATACATATATCAAAACATTACACATTGTATATGATAAATATATATAATTTTTACTTGTCCTTAATATTTATAACTCAAATATTTCTTGTACCTCAATAAAGCTAAAAGAAAAATACCCATTTGGTTATAGTGTATTATCCTTTCTATTGCTAATATTTTGTGAAGGCTTTTGCTTCTATGTTCATGGGAGACATGGGTTTGTAGTTTTTTTCATAATGCCTGGTTCAACTATCAGGATAAAACTGGCCTCATAAATTGAGTTCAGAAGTGTTCCTTCTTCCTTTATTTTCTGAGATAGGTTCAAGAGTATTGGTACAATTTCTTCCTTAAATGTCTCATAGAGTTTACCACAATGTTATCTTTGTTGGTATTAAGTTCTTGATGTTTCTTTTCTGGATGAGTAACAATTATGTAAGTTTGATAACTAAATTAAATTTTCTTGCTATAGATATATTCAGATTTTCTATTTCTTCTTGAGTCAGTTTTAGTAATTTATATCTTTCAAGAAATTTATCCATTTTATCTAAGTTGTCAAATTTATTGGCAAATGTTATCCATATATTCTCTTATGGCTCAATATGGATGTCTTCTTCTCTTTCATTCCTGATATTGATAATTTGTGCCATCTCCTTTTTTATTCTTATCAATCAGCTCTCTTCCAGTTCAGCTGAGCTCCTGTCATCTAGGTTTATCCATTTTACAGACTTTTGCAAAGAACCAGATTTTGGACTCATTCATTTTCTCTACTGTTTTGCCATTACAACTTCATTGATTTCTGTTCTGATTTTTATTATTTCCTTTCTTTTACTTGCTTTAGGTCTAATTTGCTCTATTTCTAGCTTCATATGGTAGAAACTTAGATAATGATTTAGATATTTCTTTTTAATTTTTATGTATGTATGTATGTATGTATGTATGTATGTATTTATTGAGACAGAGTCTCGTTCTGTCGCCCAGGCTGGAGTGCAGTGGTGCAATCTCTGTTCACTGCAACCTCCGCCTCCCAGGTTCAAGTGATTATCCTGCCTCAGCCTCCTGAGTAGCTGGGACTACAGGTGCGCACCACCACGCCCAGCTAATGTTTGTATTTTTAGTAGAGACAGGGTTTTACCACATTGGCCAGGCTGGTCTCAAACTCCTCGGCCTCCCAAAGTGCTGGGATTACAGGCGTGAGCCACTGTACCTGACCCTTCTTTTTTTAAAAAAAGTATTTGAAGTGACAAATATCCCTCTAAGAACTGCTTTAGCTGGATCCCACAATTTCAGTATATTGTGTTTACATTTTTACTCAGTTAAAAATATTTTCTAGGCTGGGTGAGGTGGCTCATGCCTGTAATCCCAGCACTTTGGGAGGTCAAGGTGGGCAGGTCACTTGAGGTCAGGAGTTCAAGACCAGCCTGCCCAATGTGGTGAAACCCCCTCTCTACTAAAAATAAAAAATTAGCCAGGCATGGTGTTGGGCACCTGTAATCCCAGCTATTCAGGACTCTGAGGGAGGAGAATTGCTTGAACCCAGGCAGCAGAGGTTGCAATCAGCTGAGATCACACCACTGCACTTGAGCCTGGGCAACAGAGGGAAATGCTGTCTCAAAAAAAAGTAAAAAAGATCTTTTCTAATTTCCTTGTGATTTCTGCTTTGATCCACAAATTACTTAGAATTATGATGCTTATCACAGATTTGATGATTTTCTGTTATTAATTTCTAATTTAATTCTGTGTGGTCAAAAAATGCTCTATAACTTCTTTGAAAATTGATACTTTACGACTTGACATATGGTTTATTCTAATAAACGATATTCCATGTGTAGTTGTATATTATATATATATTCTACTGTTTGCTGGAGAAGTTATAGATGTAGTTATGTCACAATAGTGTTGTTCAGGTCTCTTTTATCCTAGTTGATTTGCTCTCTACTTGTTATTGATTACTAAGAAGGCACATTGAAGTCTCCAGCTATAACTATAGATTTGTCTGTTTCTTCCTTCAATTCTGTCATTTATGTAATTTGGAGCACTGTTATTTTGTGCATATATGTTTACAATTTTTGTACCTTCTTGCTCTATTGAGAGAGGGAATTTGTTACATGTAATGCACAAAATAACTTGGGAAGATGGGAACTGCCAATGGTAGAAAAATAGCAACATTTTTCCAGCTTACGATAGGAAACCCAACAATGAATAAAAATTAACAAAGATCTACATAAATACATTTTTTTCCCCTAGACCTCATAGGATATATTTCAGTATTACTTGGCCTCTCCTATGAAGCAGACCTTAAGTCCAAATGTTGGTCACTAAGATGAAAAAAACCTACTGCAAGAAACATTTATAAAATAAAATTTTCTCAGTTTTTGACTTGGACAAAGGTGACAGATTATTCTAAACAAAAACTCATGAGGTGATGGCTTTTTAAAAAATCAAATATTTTCAAAAGACGTATTATATAACAAGCGTGTCATAGTAAAGAAAATACAAATGGGCTTTTTCTCGCAAGATGACGATCACCCTGGGGACTGAGGCTGGTGTGTGCCGCGGCTGCTCTCACCCTGGAAGAAGGCATTCGGGCCACTCTAACCAGATTCTTAAGTCGCTAGGGATAAAAGAAGGGTAGAGAGAGAAGCGACTCAATTCTGTAGTCTCTCGCTCACGAGCCTCCAGTCAAAAGAAGAGAATGGTGCAGCATCATCTTTAGGCACTGAGGCCCGAAAAGCCCATTTTAACTACAGGTCTGCTTAATCAAAGTTAAGGAGCAGAAGAACCAGCGCAGCTTTACTTTCCCTTCTCTAACATGGCCTCGAGGGCGGGGGGGGGGTGGTGGGAGAGGAGAGAAAGAGGAAGTTTCCGCTTGACCCCGCCCACGCCTCTGGGCGAGCCAATCCTGGCGGGCAGCTCAGCCTGCGCAAGCTCGCTGCCAGTAGGGCGCTGGGTGGACTCGGTGAGGTGATTGTTTTGGCACCTGTTGCCAAGGCTCCTCCCTCTCTCCTTCACCGGGCCGGCTGCGGACCAGGGGCGGGCCGTTGGCAGCCTCCGCCCTCTCAACCTTCGCGGGGCGCGGGCCGAGGACCTCAGCTTTTTGGTTCACAGCGGGGCAGGGAGAGCCACGGGAAGGGCTCTCCAGGCGAGAGGCGGACTCCAGGCGAGAGGCGGACGCCAGGCGTCGTGGCAAGGAAAAGGGACTAGCTTCACTTCGTTGTCAGCTGGGGACGAGAATCGACCCACGCTCCCACCTGGCTGCTCACGATCCATCGGAGGCGATGTCGGCCTCCGGTGCCCGAGGCCTGCGGGCCACCTACCACCAGCTCCTCGATAAAGTGGAGCTGATGCTGCCCGAGAAATTGAGGCCGTTCTACAACCATCCAGCAGGTCCCAGAACAATTTTTTTCTGGGCTCCAATTATGAAATGGGGGTTGGTGTGTGCTGGATTGGCTGATATGGCCAGACCTGCAGAAAAACTTAGCACAGCTCAATCTGCTGTTTTGATGGCTACAGGGTTTATTTGGTCAAGATACTCACTTGTAATTATTCCAAAAAATTGGAATCTGTTTGCTGTTAATTTCTTTGTGGGGACAGCAGGAGCCTCTCAGCTTTTTCGTATTTGGAGATATAACCAAGAACTAAAAGCTAAAGCACACAAATAAAAAGAGTTCCTGATCACCTGAACAGTCTAGATGTGGACATAACCATTGGGACCTAGTTTATTATTTGGTTATTGATAAAGCAAAGCTAACTGTGCGTTTGGAAGGCACAATAAAACTAACTATAACTGGTAGCTAGTGCTTGATTCAATAGAAAAATAAAGCAAAGTTTTAATAACAGTCAAAAAAAAAAAAAAAGAAAATACAAATGGCTCAACTATGGAAACTGCTCAACGTCAGGAGAAATTAAAACTACAGTGAGTTGCTACACTGAGTGATCTTTTGTACCCAGACAAAAGAGCTCAAAGCAAAGATCAAATAGTTTTATAACACAAAGTAACTTAGAACAGGGTAACTTACACATTACTGGTATTCACATAAATTGGTAAAACTCAATGAAGGGCAGTTTTACAATAACCATTAAAACTATAAATGTATGCAACTGTTGACACAGCAAATCACTCCTAAGAATTTATCCTAAAAATATAATTGAAAAAATGCAAAATAACATATATGTACTATTATTCACTGTGGTATCATTTATCAATGGCAAAGGATTAGAAATAATCCCAATGTTTATTAACAGTGGACTGATTAAATACACTCAATATATCATATAATGAAATGTTCTGAAGCTGTGAAACAGAATGAGGAAGATCATCATGTACTGAATATGAAATGGTCTCCAAGATATATTAATAGCAGAAAAATGCAAGGTGTAGAACAGTGTGCAAAAAGGGAGCTAAAAGAAAAATATATATATACCTTCACACCCATGAATTTGTATAGGCATAAAATGTCTATGGAATAATAAAAAGGAAACGGATAGTGATTGATAGCAACTACTGAGTGGCTAGGGAAAGGGGTAAAAGGGAAATTTTTTCATAGTCTTTTTGCACTGTTTGAATGTTGAAAAATGTGAAAACATTACTTATTCCCCCCAAAATACATTTTTTATTTTCTGTAAATTTAATTGTTGCAATAATGTATCTATGCTGTTTAAAAATCAAGAGGTAAAAAAATATATCATTAGCCAAAATCTCTTCACCATCTTCTCCAAATCTTACATTCACTACCCCAACTTCTACGACTACACGTAATTTATGTATCTTTCCAGAATATCTTACACATATATAAGCAATATAAATACCACTATTTCTCCCCATCTGAATTTATGCCTTACCTTTAGTTATTCATCTCTGAGCTCTTTCCATGTAACAATATAGAAAACTTTCTATTCTTTACTACAGAATATTCCATTGTATGAATAAACCACAATTTAGCCAATTTCTCATTGATTAATGCTTAAGATGTTTTAATTTTTTGCTATCCCATTATGTATATCCAACTACCAATAAATAGATCACCATATTATTATAAGAAATGTCTCTAGTGGAGTTTTGATAGATTGAGATCAAAGCGAGTACAGTAAGCAATATTATAGTAGTTTTTACAGATTTAATACTAGAAAATTACCTATATTTCTCAAAAAATGCTTTTGTGTGGCAAAAAGCAGCGTAGCCTGGGTCCAGATGTTAGTAGTGTAGGGTCAGGGTTCAAACTAAATGTTTTCAAATTCTGCCTGCTTTTACTTACAAGGTGTGAATCTTAAGTAAGTTACCTCATCTCTGTGCGCCTGCTTCCTTGTCTAGAAAATGATAACAGCTACCTCTCAGTTATAATGAAGTTTATTATTATTATTATTATTATTATTATTATTTTATTATTTTTAGAGACGGAGTCTCGCTCTGTCTCCCAGGCTGGAGTGCAGTGGTGCGATCTCGGCTCACTGCAAGCTCCACCTCCCGGGTTCCCGCCATTCTCCTGCCTCAGGCTCCCGAGTAGCTGGGAATTACAGATGCCCAGCTAATTTTTGTATTTTTAGTAGAGGTGGGGTTTCACCGTGTTAGACAGGATGGTCTTGATCTCCTGACCTCATGATCTGCCTGCCTCGGCCTGCCAAAGTGCTGGGATTACAGCCATGAGCCACCGCGCCTGGCCTATAATGAAGTTTAAAAGGATAAAAATGCAAAGCACTTAAACAGTACTTAGCATGTAATCAATGTATATTACATGTTAGCTATCATTTTTCATGGGAAAATTATTTTGACAGAAGAAGAAAAAAATAAAGGAGATATATTAATGTTCTTCAAGTTTTATGGAGGGGGGGGGGCTAGATAATAAGGCCCTGTGAGAATCTTGTAACTATTTTCTTCCAATAAAAATGCACATACACAAACTACTTTACAAACAATGCTATGGAACTTAGAAGTTACATGAAGCTGCTCTATTTAGAATTCCAGAGTTAGAGAATAAAAGAGACAGATTCATTTAACAAGAGAGAAAAGATAAGGGAACTATGTAGGTTACTATCATCAGTCCTAACATGGTAGTAGAAATAGTGCTAGACTAAGATATTTCACTAAATTAGGAAGTCTAATAGATTACTGTGGAGCACAAGCTTGCTGTGTTAGAACATCTACTTACCATTCTTGATTATTTGCTATGCTTAACAAAATGTTTGATTAAAAAAGGTATTGCTGGGGGCGCCCAAGATGGCTGAATAGGAACAGCTCCAGCCTCCAGCTCCCAGCGTGAGCAACACAGACAACAGGTGATTTCTGCATTTTCACCTGAGGTACCAGGTTCATCTCACTGGGACGTGTCAGACAGTCAGTGCTGGTCAGCAGGTGCAGCCCAACCAGCAAGAGCTGAAGCAGGGCAAGGCATCGCCTCACCTGGGAAGCGCAAGGGAGAAGGGAATTCCTTTTCCTAGCCAAGGGAAACTGAGACACACAACACCTGGAAAATCGGGTAACTCCCACCCTAATACTGTGCTTTACCAAGGGTCTTAGCAAACGGCACACCACATTATATCCCACACCTGGCCCGGAGGGTCCCACGCCCACAGAGCCTCCCTCATTGCTAGCACAGCAATCTGAGATCTAACTGCAAGGCTGCAGCGAGGCTGTGGGAGGGGCACCCGCCATTGCTGAGGCTTAAGTAGATAAACCTGCTGGGAAGCTCGAATTGAGTGTAACCCACCACAGCTCAAGGAAGCCTGCCTGCCTCTGTAGACTCCACCTGTGGGGACAGGGCATAGCTAAACAAAAAGCAGCAGAAACCTCTGCAGATGTCAAGTCCCTGTCTGACAGCTCTGAAAAGAGCAGTGGTTCTCCCAGCACGGAGGTTGATATCTGAGAATGGACAGACTGCCTGCTCAAGTGGGTCCCTGACCCCTGAGTAGCCTAACTGTGGGACATCCCCCACTAGGTGCAGACCGACACCTCACACCTCACACAGGTGGGTACATTCTGAGACGAAGCTGCCAGAGTAACAATAAGACAGACAGCAACACTCGGTGTTCAGCAATATTCTATCTTCTGCAGCCTCCGCTGCTGATACCCAGGCAAACAGGGTCTGGAGTGGACCTCAAGCAAATTCCAACAGACCTGCAGCTGAGGGTCCTGACTGTTAGAAGGAAAACTAACAAACAAAAAGGATACCCACACCATCATCAAAGACCAAAGGCAGATAAAACCACAAAGATGGGGGAAAAGCAGTGCAGAAAAGCTGGAAGTTCAAAAAATCAGAGCACATCTCCCCCTTCAAAGGAACGTAGCTCATCACCAGCAACGGAACAAAGCTGGATGGAGAACGACTTTGACAAGTTGAGAGAAGAAGGCTTCAGTCGATCAAACTTCTCAGAGCTAAAGGAGGAACTACGTAACCAGCGCAAAGAAACTAAAAACCGTGAAAAAAGAATGGATGGATAACTAGAATCATCAATGCAGAGAAGACCATAAAAGAACTGATAGAGATGAAAACCATGACACGAGAACTACGTGACAAATGCACAAGCTTCAGTAACCGACTTGATCAACTGGAAGAAACAGTATCAGCGACTGAAGATCAAATGAATGAAATGAAGCGAGAAGAGAAGTGTAGAGAAAAAAGAGTAAAAAGAAATGAACAAAGCCTCCAAGAAATATGGGATTATGTGAAAAGACCAAATCTACGTCTGATTGGTATGCCTGAAAGTGACGGGGAAAATGGAACCAAGATGGAAAACACTCTGCAGGATATCATCCAGGAGAACTTCCCCAACCTAGTAAAGCAGGCCAACATTCAAATTCAGGAAATACAGAGACCACCACAAAGATACTCCTCGAGAAGAGCAACTCCAAGACACATAATTGTCAGATTCACCAAAGTTGAAGGAAAAAATGTTAAGGGCAGCCAGAGAGAAAGGTCGGGTTACACACAAAGGGAAGCCCATCAGACTAACAGCAGATCTCTCGGCAGAAACTCTCTAAGACAGAAGACAGTGGGGGCCAATATTCAACATTCTTAAAGAATTTTCAACCCAGAATTTCATATCCAGGCAAACTAAGTTTCATAAGTGAAGGAGAAATAAAATCCTTTACAGACAAGCAAATGCTTAGAGATTTTGTCACCACCTGCCTGCCCTACAAGAGATCCTGAAGGAAGCACTAAACATGGAAAGGAACAACCGGTACCAGTCATTGCAAAAACATGTCAAAATGTAAAGTCCATCGACGTTAGGAAGAAACTGCATCAACTAGCGAGCAACATAACCAGCTAATATCACAATGACAGGATCAACTTCACACATAACAATATTAACCTTAAATGTAAATGGACTAAATGGTCCAATTAAAAGACACAGACTGGCAAATTGGATAAAGAGTCAAGACCCATCAGTTTGCTATATTCAGGAGACCCATCTCACATGCAGAGATACACATAGGCTCAAAATAAAGGGATGGAGGAAGATCTATCAAATGGAAAACAAAAAAACAAAACAAAAGCAGGGGTTGCAATCCTGGTCTCTGATAAAACAGACTTGAAACCATCAAAGATCAAAAGAGACAAAACAAAGAAGGCCATTACATAATGGTAAAGGGATCAATTCATCAGGAACAGCTAACTATCCTCAATATATATGCACCCAATACAGGAGCACTCAGATTCATAAAGCAAGTCCTTAGAGACTTACAAAGAGACTTAGACTCCCATACAATAATAATGGGAGACTTTAAGACCCCACTGTCAACATGAGACAGAAAGTTAACAAGGATATCCAGGAATTGAACTCAACTCTGCACCAAGTGGACCTAACAGAC